CTGTCTAACCTCTGCATAACTTGGGGATGTGCTAATCGCCTTCTTGATATTATTGATCTTTTCAGAAAATAAGGAAGCAAACTCATTGCATTTGCTGTCGGAGAGCTTTTCACTGGCAATCTGACTTGGGGGGTTTGTCAGTCTCTCAACAGTAGCAAAAAGAGTGCGAGTGTTGTTTAAGTTACTGTTTGAGAAGATTGAGAAGAAAGTCTGTCTAGCTGTGGCTAGTTCCACACTGAAAGTACAAAGGCTGTCTTTATAGTGGATCAGTCTTCCTGCTGACTTTCAAAGGAGCAATGTCATCAATAACATTCTTAACTTTTGAGTTAAAGGAATCAAGGAGAAGATCAACAGTGTCTGCAGAAATGCTTGGTGTTAAAGATATAGCCTCCATAAATAGCACACTAGTGTTTTCGTTAATGCATCTCTTTCTGACAGAGACAGATCTAGATTTAACTCCGATCTGTGTGTGTGTCAGAGAGAAGTCCAAACACTCCTCTAAAGACAGGGAGCTGACCGGCAAACACAAACCCTCCTCAAAGGTAAAACCATCAAGAGATCGTTAATGAAGGAGTGCGAGTGAGTCTAATGAGTCTGTCATTAACAGGTGAAGCAGTCAATCTGGAGTCAGCAGGTGCGTCTCTCCTACAGTAAAACCTCTTCAGAGAACGTTTCGCTAACATTCCCATCACGGTTATGAAAACGTTATTCAAGAATGTTCTCCGAACGCCCCGTTTTTGAAGTGTTTATAAAACATTTTTGGCTATGCACACATCAAAGGAACATTCGATTTGATAATTTTGAAAACATTATGGGAATGTTACTTTTAAATGTTCTCTGAACGTTCTGAAACTGGTAACATTTAAAAAACATTAGATGACCGTCCAACTAGAACGTTTCACAAAAAATATTTTTTGAGAACGTTATTAAAGACCAGATAACTTTGAATGAAAATTATTTTAATGTTACTGGAAGAACGTTTGTTCATAACTTTGAGAGAACGTTGCCGGAACGTTCTGATAACGTTCTCCGATAGTTCTGTGTCAATCAATAGTCTCATGTTGATGAGTGAAATATAAAGCAGGAGATGATGACACGCATGAGGTAAGGACTCATAATTCACTTAAAATATATGATAAATACCTCAGTTTCAATCTAAAAGTGTTTAATTTTGCATTTTAATTTTGCAGGATGTCAAAGTAGATCCTGATGAAAGGCAAGAGATCTCTGTTTGACTTTGTGTTTGATTAATGGTGCAAAGCAATGGAAAAAATATTACTCACAATGAATTTAACTTTCTAAGAATATGGAAATAAGTTTAATCGAACAAGTTGTTAGAAATGGTGCACTGTTTCTTTAAATCAGAAATGATGGACAGCAGAGATCAAGTTCACCAGAAAACAACAAACAGAAGGTATTTTGATTTGACCATTTCAAGTGTTTGCTCTTGATGGCCACGTCTACAGGTTTTAATGATGGTTTATTTAATTGCTTGTGATTGATTCTAAGACTCGATCAAAAAGCGGCAAGGAGTGTCACAATCACGAGGAGAAGAGCAAGCTGACTGCAGATCTGGAGCTCTGCAGCGTGGATGGAAACCTCCAAAACAAGAGCAACAGACACTCAAATCAGGTGTCGTTGGTGGATGATCTTACCGCGGTGAATGATGTTTGACTGGTGATGAGTAACCGTTGGGACAGATGAAAGTGTGAATCTGAGGCCGCGCTGAAGCAGGAGACGGATGAACCCCGGGTCACGGCACCTGTCAAGATAAAGAAGAAGAGAGTCAAAGATGAAAAGAGCCGAGAGAAACGCGACGATAAGAATCAGCCGTCTGGGAAGAAAAGGAACAAGACGAGTTCTGAACATGACAAAGCAGAGAAGAACAAGACCAAGAAAGACGGAGAGGAGGTGAAGAAGGAGAAGAAAGACGAGGAGTCTGATAAGTGGAAGTGGTATGTGTGCGCTGTTTTCCTTCAGGTAGTCTTTAATGGTCCATTTGATCATTTAACCTTAACTGTGTGAATCAGTTGAGTTCAGCTCATAAAATCAATGTGGAACAAGATTTAAATAATGAACTTCATTTTGAAAATCAACGGAGGAAAAATCAAATATGAATATTAGGGATTAAATAGGCTTAATTAATCAGAACTAATGATGCCACAAATATGGAATCTTGCTTCCGTCACAGAATAAAAGTTAAAAAAGGTAACTGTGACTTTTTTTTCCTCAGAACTGCATGGAAAAAGATCAAACGTGGCAGTTTCCTTTATTTTTGTTTATTAGGGGTTCAAGCGCGGGGCGTAATTGTTCGAATGGCCAAGGATCAGCAATCTCCACCTAAAACTGATCGGGCAGAGCAACCGTGAGTCGTAGAGACTTGAAACTTGGAGGGATGGTAGTACTCTCGCCGTCTACAATGTCACCAAAACTCGCCCCAATCGGCCTGACGGGGGCGCTACAGCCATCAAAAGTGCGAAATCGCTCATAACTCCTAAGCCCGGTAATTTTCAGGTATTTTGGATTTTTTTGAAAAACCTACTTTTGCGCACTAGTCCAAGTTTTTTCCCGCCCGATTGGAACCAAACGAGTGCAGACTGATTCTCTGAAGACTGAATATCAATAATCATCAAAAAAAAGTTAACTTTCGTCTCACGGTCGCAAACGGACACCAAAACGTTCAAAAGGGACAGGGACGCTTTTACTAAAACGGCTAAAACTCTTGAACGGAATGCGATATCTTCACCAATCTCATAACACTCATGTAGGAGCTCAATCTGAGGTCACATGAAAAAAATCACGGAGCTTGGCCACTTGGTGGCGCTATAAGAGGGGAAAAAACATAAAAATGGCTATAACTACGCAACCATTTGTCCGATCAACGTGAAAATTGGTATGCAGTGTCTTTGTCCAAAGTGCCACAGGTGTCTATAAGGACATTTATGTATCTCAAAAAACGTGGCCGCTATTGGCCAATGAAGTTTGAGCACTCATTAGACAAGGTTAACGCAGGTCGATCGGAATGAAACTCAGTGGGCCTGTTTGACTCGCGAAATTCGAAAGAAATCGGCCACTGGGGGGCGATGGCGCATTTTTCAAGGGTGTAAACGATTGTATATTGTGTGGTTTTTCACACATATAACAGTCAAAAAGGCTTCAAAAACACTATATTTCTATGGTAAATGACTCCAAATTGCAGAAAATGTTCACATATTGATGCATACACTAGATCTTCACACCGTACGATCGATCTGCTCATTCTGAACAACTTTGCCTTTAGGGCCACTGCTGTCAATCAAATTGTTCTTTAAATATTTGACAATATTTTAAAAAACCTACTTTTGCAAACTCCGGCCATAGGTGGCGCTCTAACAGTCATAAACATTAAAAATCATCATATTTCTATGGTAAATTACCTGGATTTGCCAAAAATGCTTTTTTAAATTGTTAATTTATGTGGTTACAGGCTTGCTAAATAATATGTAATGTCTTTTTTCATATCTGCTTACACTTGTGTTGGACTAATGCAATTCTTTTGTTATACTTTCTTTAAATTGCAGTTCAGTTCCGTGTGAGTTAGTGTTTCATACTCATGAACTAAAAGGAGGCAGTTTGTAAATTCTAAATTTTGCAGTATATGTGGTTAATGCATGTGGCTTTTTATTACACTTTTATTTTAAAAAGTAAATAAAGCAATATTATTTAGCATTCTGTAAAATGTCGGAGAAACTGTGGCTATTACCGGCATATTATTTGTGAGAGAGAGCGTTCATTAAATATGAACCTAAAATCTTAAGTTATTTTATTATATTTTAGAAATAATTATTAATAATTCCCAATTATATTAATTTAATAATGGATTTAATAATTATTTTTATTAAAAAAAAAGTTTGGAGCACAAAGGCCTGTGTTTCTCTCCCTAAAAACTAAAACTGATTTCAAAGGGCTGTATTTAAGTTAAAATTAATTCTTTTTTTTTTATTTAAAATTTTATGTATTTGACTTTTATGAGCCGAAAATTCAAGATATGAGGGCAAAAATCCCCCTCTTATATTCATATCATATGATATAGTTCAGCAATATCACACCAGCAAGAGTGCTGTTTCTCCCCAATATCTGCTCCACTGATTCATACCACAGTTCAATAAACAAGCAGTTCATAGTGTTACATTTTAGACTCCATATTGTCTGTTTTTGCTCAATTTTGCAAATGAAAACAAAAGCACAGCAGTGATTCATTACCGAATGAATCAGCCATTTGAGTGAATCAGTTAAATGAATGATTCAGTGACTCATTCAGACAGTCATTTGTTTCATATCTGAATGAATTGGTCGAGTGAATCATTCAACGACTCACTCGTGCCTCCACCTGCTGACACTTTTACTTTCATATTTAGTGGATCATTTTAAAAAGTCAGTTTTGATATTTCAATATTTACAAAAAAAAAATTTAATACCCGTTTATTACCATTTATTTATGCAATGTTGAATCAAAATTCTTTCTAAAGGTACTTGTTTGTAATGTCAGTTCAATGCATTTCTCATTTTACACAATAATGACTTGAAATGATCTTTGGTGGGTCATTTCTCTGCGAAAATAGTGTGATTTAATTTGCAGTTAATTAGATTAATTAATTGGCAGTGAACACTGTGTAGGGATCATCTCTTCTAACGAGTGGATTTGAGCACTGCACTACATCACATGATTATTAGTGGATGCATTTAATTAATGCACGGTCCCGTGTGATGAGTTTGTGTCTAATATGATTTTCACTCGCAGGTTTTCAAGAATCTGAAGCTGTTCATAAAGCATAAGGATCCGGAAGATGATTTATTTATTTGATCACAGTAAGTGCGTTTGAAGATCACACTGAGACACTGTTATAGTTTTTATTCGTTTGAATTAGGTTTTTTTTTTTTCACGTTAATTTTAATATTTTATTTTTACTTTAATGTCTTTATAGTTGTATAAATTTTTTGAGTTTTAATTCAGTGTGTTGTTTTAGTATATCAAATTAAACCAAATGAAAATGAGGAATGTTGCAGTGGAAACTAGCTGAAGTTATTTTCAGTGAATAATTATTTTATTATCCAGATATAACTTTATGGTTTGATTGTGTCAGAAATGAATGCTTTGCATCAGATAGATATTCACATTTCATTCAGCGTGGGGTTTTCTGTAAACATCCTCTGTAACCACCAGAGGGCAGCACCCAAAACCTTCGAGAAGTCAGTGCAGCTGCTCATCTTCATCTTCATCTTCATCATGAACTGAGCTCAGTAATGACAGGCGCTTCTGAGACTCGAAGCACTTTATACAACACTGAGCGTTCAAAGCAGCAGCAGCAGCAGGAACATAAGAGCTAATGCTGAGAAACTCGACAATCATGAAACTCGTTTGGTTTCAGTTCTACAGAAGACTGTAGTGTCTCCTGGGTTATTATCTTAAACTAAAACCATAAAGCACTTCTTGAACATCTCATCAAAACATTATAATGACTAAATTATTAATGACTAAAAATTAAAAAATAACATTGAATTGTTCTTCTCAATTTAGTTTAATGAATTCAATTCAGTGTCACTGTTGTAAAATTCATCAATTATGGAATGAATTCAGTTTCCTCTGTAAAGCAGAGTCTTTGTTCGGTTCTCATCTGATAGTGTCCGTGCATTAAATAATATTACTGAATATGAATTCTTTTAAAGCTCAGTAGAGCTGCTTTACATCTGGAGTGGAGTTGGTCTCATGATTGATGAATTGCGCAGCATTAAGACTGCTTCTCTGATTGCTCTGAAGCTGTGTTGAGTCTGTCTGTGCTGAGCACGGCGCTGTATGGATGAGTGTCGAGTTCAATCAGACGCTGCTGACGAGATTCTGAGGTCAAACCTTATTGGATTCCAGGTGGGTTTGTGACTGCAGGGCAGTGCAGCGGTTTGAGCGGCGAGGTCGAGCTTTAAAGGACGAGGCGGTCAGAAATAATCAGAAACAGCAGAGTGATGACCAGTCGTTTAGACTCCAGCATCAGCGGGTCGCAGGTCACACGCCGCTTAATGCACCTACACACACACACACACACACACTCTCACTCTCTCTCACACACACACACACTCACACACGAGAGAGAGAGCCGCCGGCGGTCAGAGGTCACACTTTTGTCTCTCTGCTTCTTGTTACAGATCCAGAAGAAAAAGGAACAAATTGAAGAGGCCAAAAAAGAGCTGAAGGAAGTGAAGAAAGCGCATAAAGACGCTCCGTCTGACAAATCCAAGAAGTAAGGAGTCTTTTAAATGCTCCTGCACTCAAGGTTAGAGCTGATGATCCTCTGCCAGCAGCGTTTGTGCCGTAAAAGCATGAAATATTCAGACCGCTCAACAGCCAAAAGAAACAAACACTGCTGCTGTTCATCAGCAGTCTGTTTGTGCCTGAAGACATTCACATTAAATCATTACAGTTACTGTTTGTTGATGGAAAATACATTGCAGTGGGTCAGTTGGATTGCATTGCATCAGTGTTTGCCAAATGTTATTATTACAGTCTGAAATAATGTAAATGGAACATCATGAACACAATAAACGTATTTTAGTTCCTCTCATGACACAACAAATCCTTCAGATGAAATGCTATTCAGAACAGGAATGAAATAAAAGTGTAAAACACATTATAGTGTTATAGTATAATAAATTAATTTAAAGCAAACCAGCAGCGTGACACAGATCAACTTGAGCTCTCGTTCGACATCAGTGCAGATGTGTGGCTTTGTTCATGTTAAGAGCTTTATATGGTAACTTTGGAATATAAGCAGCAGCACGTTTTAAATGATCAAAATACGTGACTTATGTTCGGGAAAATACAGTCGTTTTTATTTGAAGTCAACGTAAAATGCTGTTCGTCCTTTTTAGGGTTATTATTGTTAACTAAAACTATTAAAACATTCTTGTTGATTAAGATAAAGCTGAAATATACATATTAGTTAACAAATTATTTTGGATAGTTGGCAACATTTCACGTTTTCATTTAGTTTAAGTTGAATCACTAAAATTACTAACTGCAAATACAATAAAAACTAAAACTGAAATAAAAAATGTACCAAAATAGTAAATATTCAACCTAAACCTAGGTAATGTTTATAAAAAATACTAATTAAAACCACAAAAGCGCAACAAAATTACTAATAATCAAGCCAATCCAAAATATTAAATGTTATAAAGAGTTGATGAATGGAGTCTGAACTGATGAACAGCTCCTCGTGTGTTCGTGTGTGTGTGAGTGTGAGTGCGTGTGTGTGTGTGTGTGAGTGTGTGTGTGTGTGTGTGTGTGTGTGCGTGCGTGCGTGTGTGT